ACAATTATGTACAGACACACGCCAAAGGTGTACGGAAAAGTTTACCGTGACGTCACGGGCTTCTGGATGGGTTACAATATTTGGCTTTTTATCATGTTTCGCGGTGAATTATGGCAAAGATTAACAATTTATCGTGCGATGTAAACAAACATCGAAGATTTCTTGTTAGGGTGCAAACGTTGTTGTAGTCAAAGAATATCTTAGATATTCGTTGGTTGTAGTGTTCGCTTATTAATAAATTTCTTCTGGTGATAATTCAGTTAAAATCACTGACAAAAGTTTGATAGGACATGTGAGAACTTCCATTGCAGTGTTCTTTGAATTAACATTTATTTCCTGCTAAACGTATTATAAATAAAAGAACAAAAACAATTTCAATTTTTAATATCTCTGTTAGCACTTCATATAATTTTTTTTAGTGGTATGAATAAATTTTGTGCATATTGATTTAAAACTATTACCATCAGGGATACAAAAACTGAGTTTTTTTTTTTCCTCTTACGAAAGCACTGAAACTGTTTAATTATAAAAATACTATTTTAATACTGAATTTTGAACGCATTTTTTCTGTTGATAATTTAGTTAATCGTAAAATGACTGTGCTTTCGCATAATTTAACATCATTTGTGAAGTGAATGACACTAAATTTCAGATGTGATGATTTTTTAAATTGTTTCTGCCTCTGAAATAAAAATTTATTCTAATGTTTTGCGAGTTTTTAAGTGTATCAAAATGTCAATGTTCCATCGGCACTTGTGCAGAAACATGGGAAATTGACTCATCGTTTGTTGTAATTATTATGTCATTTAATGTGAGCAAAATGTTGCAATGTATTTGATTTTTTTCTTGATGAATTTGAAATTATGAAAAAATAACGTATGGTGTAGATGATGACAGAAATTTTTAATGAATGAATTTAGAAACTGTAAGATGAAAAGAATTTTACCTTTGATCTGATTCACAACTGCATGTCACAAAACATACTTCATAAAGTATGCCGAAGTTTTATTCCTTGCAAAAAACATGATATCTATTATTCAAGTTTGTGATCAGAGAATTATTATAGAGCAATGAAAGAATATGATCTTCGTGAGGTGAGCTGTATTCTTCATAATGAGGAAAATTTGGAATTTTATTCCTTGCAGAAAACATGATATCTGTTATTCCAGTTTGCGATTAAGGAATTTTTATAGAGCGATGAAAGAATATGATCTTCGTGAGGTGAGCTGTATTCTTCATAATGTGGAAAATTTGGATGAAAGTGCAAATGAATTAATAAGGACTAACCTCCTTGGTGTATTTTCTGCATCTTCTAAATACATATTTTGAAACCATGTTTCAGAAAACACAATAATAAACTGTTTTAAGCAGGATAACTTTTACTGATGGCAAAATCAGTCACTTTCCCAAACAGATCCAAGTACAAAATATGAAAAAAAAATGTCTTTGAATATGATGATGAGAAAACTTTCTTACTTATTATTTCTCAAAACTGTCTCACCCAGTGCTCATAAACTGTGTATGAATGAAATTTTTCATGACAACTGCATGCTCTCCACTATTATTGAATTTTTAGCTCTTATTTCTTAATAAAAGTCCTGTGGAAACATGCAATTTTATATTTCTATTATACAACCATTTATTTAGTTAAACTGTATTGCAATTTCCTTGGGCATATTTCTCATCATTTAATATTATGATTCAGTTTTTGCTATCAACACAGATATGGACGAATGTAATGATATGCAAAACAGTGTGTGCTTTTTTTGTAGAAAATGCAATCGAACTTTCCAAAGAGAATAACCTCTTACTTAAATAGATTTGTATTATGGGAGTGGTTATCTAAGGAAATGTGCTATTAGTGATGTTCTATTATCAGCCATTATTTTATTTTATATCAAGTATGCTAATCATTCGCAAAGGACCTCTTCACATAAATTTTCTCTCCATTATACATGTATAAATCAACTAGTTGAATGCTTTGGCATAATCAATAAAGTATTACTACTTGCACAGTGATGTTTTGGTAAAAGTAAAGTATATTTACGAGTACCCATTGGTGATTTTTGGCGGCACATGGATACCGAGTTTGTGCACATTGACCTACATAAATGCGACACGAAAAATTACAAATTATGATCAGAACAAAAAGAGAGTTATAATAAAACATTGGTATATAACAAATACATTTGTTAATGGAAAAAAAAACATCACAGAATTGCACAAACTAGGCATTGTGCACTGCCTTGACTTTCTTTATCCATGAACACGTTGACCTATTTTCACTTAAAAAATCACCAGAGAATTGCAGAAACTTGGCATTGTTCACTCCCTTGACTTTATTTACTGACTGAGTATATTTACGGATGTACAGAACATTCAACTACTCAACAATCAACATAAATGAAACAACAACTTGGCAATAAATGAAACAACATCTTCGCAATAATACAAGGGGTACCCTTCAGTCTACTCTAACCGATGCTTTATATAATTGCCTGTACTTCTGATGAAATGATATTGTAGCTTTTGCTTACAATATTTTATCAATAATTATTTTCTTTTCTATTAAGAGCATGTATAGTCCTCACTGTACCTTTATTTACCTCATCTTTATGATATGCATTGCTATGCTTAATTTGACATCTGCTTTCTATTTTAAATATTTTTCCTCCTCTTTTTTTTTTTTTTTTTTTTTTTCCCAACTCCTTAAAGGATGGGTCTTTGGGAGGAAAAATTAATGTCTCCTAAAGTGTCATGTGCTGTTCTCAAAGTGGGCCAATCTTTTTTTTTTCCTGCTTTTTTATTTTCAGCTTTCTTGAAGATAATCTTTTTAGCTCAAAGGGGCAATTTGCCCAGAAAGGCTATTAATTTTGTTTTGGCATTTTGCGTTGATTCATTATAAATGGTGAATCACTTTTTCAATTGTTGCCACCAAATATTAGAGTATTATATTTAAAGAAGTTAAATAATGAAGAATCTGCATAAATGTATGTATGTTTCTCACGTTGTGATAAAACAACTGTGTTTAGGGCCATCAAATTTTGAATAATGTATGTCTCCATTAGAATATGGGCATCTGGAAGCCCTAATTTGGAATTTGTTTTATTATCTATTTCATATCTTGTAACGCATTTATAAGTCTTTGATTAAGAAACTCAATGATTTCAAAGTGAGCAATAGCAACTCTGTATGGGAGGAGGGAACATTTTTATCTCCAATGTGCGAGACTGTGTACTGGGAATTCGAAAGACATGCTCTTTTAAATATTTGTGATATTGCTGTTGAATTGAATTTTATGATTTAAGTGTGAAGAACATGATATTTAATAAATAAAGATAACACAAAATGTTTAAAAAAAAAAAAAAAAACCTCAGGGCATAATATAAAATCTGAAAGCTTTCAGTTTATTTATTTATTTATTTTCAAAAAGTAGTCAATGGTTGATCATGTTCAGATAAATGACTTGGTGGTTTCACAAAATGAAATTTGCTGTCTGGTTCCGAAACGAAAAGTAAAACAGATCTGATGAATTGGAAACGGATGAGTAATTACACGAGATGTCACTCAAAAAGTTGCACTAAAATGTATTTAATATGATACATAATTTGCTATATTTTTATTTTCTTTTATATGAATTGTTGATAAATTATGATTAGTCATGTATACTTCAGATTGAAACTACTTTGTGAAATCAGGTAAGGTATGAGGATTGAATATTAAAATTATCGTACACAAACTTAAGAAGAGCGTATTTCATTTCTTAAATGAGTTGAATGAAAAATTTAAATGGGTGAATTATCTGTTTTCTTGGTACATTCACTCTGCTAAAACAGATTACAATATTTGGATTTTATTTTTGCCTTGTGATTTGGTGCAGTTTTTTTTAATCAAATCAATTAAATTACTACAAAAATTCAAGAGGGAGTCATACAGTGAGCTATAGTACAATGAAATTAATAAATATACAGATATTACATGATTTGTAAGTTTTAAAATGTTTTATTCTGTAACATATTACAGATAAAAAATGATTACTACATGAAATGAAATAAAAGTTCATCAAATTTGACATAATACCATAAAGGTCATTGTGTGTTCCTGTTGGTACAGGACACATATCGACCGGGTATCACAATTCTATTCACAAACATAGTAAAATTTCCCTGCTGATGGTCATCAAAGGAGCTATAATGCAGTCTTGGAGTTTTGATATTATTAGCAATAGGAGCATATAAATATAGTCTAAAGCACATTCCAAAAGCAAAAGATTACGGAGTGTATGGTCAATGATCTCATGGTCATCTGAACAACATTGAGTCATCTTCTGATATTGATCAATCCAAAAAAAGATAGAAATTTATTATTAGGTAATACAACAGTTTTCAGAGAGGAAATGTGTATTTTTTCTGAATCATATTTCATTTAGAGAAATAACAACTATAACGTATTAAAATCTGACATACCTTTTACAGTGTTTCTGTAGAAAAAAAGGACCCATGTACCTTTATCAGTGAAATGGCATATAAAATGTTCAAGTAAATATAATTTCTATTCAGTAACAGCATGACAATTTTCCATGTCCAGTACACAAACGTACCTATCCAACAAATGCTTCACCACTAGATAGTGGAAGAATTGTCTTCCATGCATACGATTGCAAAATTTATATTGCAGCATCTGTAAATAATATGGTTTTAGTTGTAATCAACATTGCAAAATCTTCCCTATGTTTGGTTATAGAACACATATTTGCTACTAATGTAATTTGTAGACCTATCCTGTTTGTGGATTACATGCAGTGGTGAGCTATGAAAAACTTGACAAAGAGTTTGCATTTTATTCTATATAAACAACTTATGCAATTCTAATGAACTGTATATTTTTTTACAAAAACAGAAAATACTAATAATTGTATATGAATGAGAAAAACGTAATATCTTTTACCAATAAATCACAAAATATCAATTTTTAAATATTTCAATACGTTTACCATTACCAGTCTCAGGTTAATCTCATTGATTTTGGAGGGTTAATCTCATTGATTGGTGATAAAATGCATATAATGTATCAAGAAATATTTCAAAATGATTTCTTTAATGGTTTTGCTTACTGAATCTTGTGATACTACTGTAAATAAGAAGCTAAGCAGTATACAGTAATAAATTACAATATTAAGAAAAATATCTAAAAGTTTGATTACAGCTACTTTTTTTCCCTTCTTAATGTCACACCAGCTGTATGTGAACAAACTGCAATTAAATCTTTCTTCAAATAGTTTTAAAAAAATAGGTATGAATGTTAACCATTCATTATACATGCATGTGTGTAGATTCAGCAGCAGCATTTTCTGAGTCTAAACAAAAAGAATAAGTTGTATCTATTATAGCTTAGATATAAATTTAATAAGGGGCTAATGCAAGTTTCCTATAGCTCAGTTACTAATTTTATATGTGAAACTAAATTTTTGCACTGTTTCATTGGAAATGACTGGCCATCTGGGGTTCTTGCCTTTATATAAGTAGCCAGTGTTCTTGAACTGTCAATACCATCATAGGATACTCTGCAGGCTTAGAGTCATAGGATGCTTTGTGTACACTGGTGTGCAAAAATTAAGGACGAAGTTGAAAAATTAGCATATCAGCTGAACGAAGAGGCAGAGCGGACAGAAAGACCAATCAGGAGATTAAGTAAGGTGATGTATGGTAGCACATGCGCAGATATGCAGGTAGACGTAATGGGGAAGTGTCTGAGTATTATACAGCATGTTGTCGGTGTAAGATCAGTATTTCTGGCAAAGAGATTGCACGCCGTATAGCAGTTAAAATCACACCGAGTTGCTGCCTCAGCGAGAAATGGCGAATAATCAATCTGTTAGACGACATCTGGATGCTTTTACCCGAGGTCGAATCATTGGGAAGTTGGAGGAAGGCCGCAGTGTGACAAGTGTGGCTGCAGAGTTCGGAATTGCTCACAGCATCGTTTCACGACTTTGGAGACAATTTCAAACTACAAGAACAGCTATACAGCTATCCGGGGGTTTAGTAGTGGTCGTCCACGAGGAGCCACACCCGCAGATGACCGGTATATTGCCTTACAGGCCAGAAGAAACAAGCAGGAGCTTATATAATTAAACAGGAGGCTCTTAGCTGTCCCCTGTAGTGTCAGTCGGTTGGTCACTAGTCCTTGGTATCAGTGGTTTCGGGTGTTTCCGCTTTTTGGAAAGCTTACTGTGGGGCTTCAGATTGCGTATAAAGTCAGTTCACCCTTCACCCTGTCGCAGGAATTTGCATCCCTATGTTGGACTCTGTGGTGGGCTGGGCTGCTGCCGGGGCTGAATCTTTTATTTCACTAAATATGGCTTCTAATACACAAACAAATGAACAAAATGAAAATTGTCCTATTTCTATAAAAGTTAAGACAAATGCAAATTCTGACAAGAATAAAAAATAAACTGCAGTTTCTGATAATTAGTAATCCATCAGGAAATCTTCAGAAAGTGACACTGTTTTTAATGTGTGTGTGTGTGTGTGTGTAAGAACGCTAAGTTCTGCAGCCAACAACCTGATAGGCAGATCATCGCCTGCGTACCTGAGACAGACAAGGATAGACACTATGCGAAGGTGGAGGCTATCGACTTCCGATTTTGTTCTGATTCCGTGAGGGCAAGAAGTGACTGTATAAAAAAATGAAAAATTTCCTTGTGTTTATCTAGCGCGAGGAACCGCTAAACAACTGTTATATCTCTATTTAGTCTGTTAACTTTTATCCGTAATTAAATAAATGCTCTGTGACGTGGAAAACATTCCAATTTTCACTCAAAATTTTTTTAAGGCTAGAAGTTTTCAAGTTAGAATTGGCTCTGTTTTTTTTTTTTTTTTTTTTTTTTTTTGTATAACTTTGAACAAGACGAGGTTTGCTCATGGGTGTGTTTTGAGTGTTATCTTAATCACGCTAAAAATAAACCGTATCTTAAAGGAACTTCCTCTTACTGTTTCAGGATAATTGTACATTGACAATCTTCAAGTTACCAAGGGGCAGATATGAGATATGTGGAGAGGCAATTACGGATCACTATTAATAAGATCCAGATATAGTCAAAGAAAAATGGATTTGCGTCTTCAAAACGGAAGGCTGTCACAAGCACTTTTGCAGAAAGGGAAATCTGCATCCTGAGATTTAACTTGAAGGGTCATTAATTCCAACTACGACGCCCGAAGGGAAATTCCTAGGAGTGATTGTTCAATCGGAAACTTACTTTCCTTCCACGAATGATGTACCTGAGGAAGAAACGTTTCAGAACTTTTACCTTCTCAAAGGTCCTGGCGAACACCTTTTGGGGTGCAGAGGATGGGATCATTGTCCCGCATATATAGGCCATTCATCCGCTCTAGACTGGACTCCCGATAAAACGTGATTAGGTCTTTGTTTGTACCTTACTTCAACCCATATTATTACTCTCAACACATTTTTATTATTCTAGTGTTAGCGCATTTATATACTTTGCATATAATTTTCAATCCTCATCGCTAGAATACAGTGTCTTAATCTAGATACTAATCTAAGTCGCGCAAAAGCGTTTATCCTTCTATTTCTAGCCAAAGGCCTCAGAGCACAACGCCAACTAGAGGTCAAAACTCCTAGTGGTTGATGCCTCAAGAGCCACCAGCGATGTCTAGACTGGCTCAGAAGTTAATGATTCGGTAGAGACTTCTGTATTATTGAAACTTGATTCGATTCATCATTGAGCTCTGCGGATTTGCCCTAGAGCCTTTAGAATATCTCCTGTATAAAAACAGTACATTTATTGCTTAGAATCATCGTTTAAATTAAAACGTGAACAATTGACCCTTCATCACTAGTTTCGTATAATGTCGCAACCTAAACATCCTTGTCTGAGTACTCTTGATGACTGCTATAGCTTATTATTTGCAGCACGGCCTCTCTGCATTCCTACGTTCCCTGCAAGAGCTGAGCCTTTGATAGAAAAATATTCAGTGCTTGATGTGAATAACCGTGCCCCGAGCAGAATGACGTGATATCCTACCGTGAGATGGTCCAGAAATTCGGCTCATAGAAACTTTTACGATTATGATAACAGAAAACACGAACGAGTTAGCTTACAAATAGCTTTTCTATGAACAAGGAACGAACACTGCAATTACATTCCAATATACATTAATGGCTCAAAAAACAGCAGGTCATGTGGAAGCATCATTTGCGTTTCGACGTCACGTAGAGAGAAAAGAAGGCTGCAATGTGCTTGCTGACTATTTAAAGCTGAAGTAACTTGAATGTATCGGTATTACAATACATTCAAGTTACTTCGTATATTTACTTTGATACTTACGTATCGGTATTACGAACTTAAATAATTCGGTGTATGACGCTGTTAAATATTCATCTAAGCCAAAAAAAGTTTATAAAGTTATTTCTCCGGCCTTTCTATCATTCCTTGGTTTGAGTCCCGGCTAGAGCATTGCTCATTTTTCTTGTCTCTTGCTTCGAAATAACCTAATGTCTGTACAACTTACACCGATTTGTTAAGTGCACAAAAAGCTTTTCAAAGTTTCTCTAGACCCAGAAACCGATGGTGACAGAAGTGTTATTGACTACCTTAAAACTTAATAAGCCGTGAGTACGAGATCCTTTACTGCTGGGTTCTTGGACACATACAGATAACGGGTAACGAACTGGCAGATATCACAGCAAAATCTGCCGTGGGACTGTTTAAATCAGCTTGTTACTTTGAGAAATATTAAAGTGATTATCAAGGGTAAAATCCTGAGTCTATGGCAAGGACCTGCAAGTGAATAATAAAATTAGAAGCATAATGCCTAGAATTAAATATTGGGAATCAGAGTAGGAGGAAGTCATTTGAACCTGTCTGACAAACGGTCACTTCCAAATTACGCACAATTATCTCTTAAAAGCGGATAGTGAACCAGTATATTCCAGTTGTAATATTAATCTGTCCTATATGACTGGCGGGTGGCGATTGGCCTCCCGAGGACAAATGTCCAAAACCGGCTGGAAACCACTGTAGGCGGTGTGAACCGTGCGCTTGAGATCGTCGTAGGCAGTGGCGGAAGGCAGGAGACCTGGCGTTTGATCGATGGGCGGGGACTGTGGGAATGGCTTTAGGCTTGCCTGCTTGCGTCTCCCACAGCTTAGCGTCAGCCTCCTCGTGGTCCCGCTGGAAACTATGCTGTGCCTTGGTCCAAGCCTTTGCTCGTATAGGCTAATGACGCTAAGCAACCAATCCCAGGGGATCGACTGGTGGGAATTTCCGGAACCGACCATTTATGGGAGGAGACCCGGGGTTCTCCCAGACCACTGGCTGGACTTGTGTCCTGCCAGCTTCGATTTGTTGGGTAAATAATCAGACTTCACAGGACTAGAACCACAGGTCCATCCTATGGTAGGCGCGGGCTTGGCAGGGACCGTACTGGTACTGTCGTATCCGTTGCCTTTGCTGTGGGGGCGCTCTCATGTAGATTTTGAGTGCTGTGCCGAGGGGGGGGGACGGCTCCCCGCGTAGCCCTCAGTGTGATGGATTATGGCGATGAACATGAGAAGTCCCTGCGGGCTGTTCGGTGGGTTGGGCGCCCCGCCAGCGCAGTCAACTGAGGAAGGCCTCTGTATCATGTTAAGGCGCTCTAGAAGCAGCCAGGTAATGTTGCCCGAATCGGAGTTAATGTTCTGTATGACAGATTTTGTTAGAAATGCTCACGTTTTGATAGACTTCAGGAAATACTATTTCACTTTTTCAGGTACTTCTCTCGACTTTTAATTGGAAAACCAATCGGGTCTCACGAAAATTTCCTGCCACCGCAAATATCGTTTGAGCAAATAGTTCGCGTTGACGTGTTGAATCATATTTTGTCAAACAATTTTTGGCGTTTGAAAGGAAGAGACTTGCTTTAGAACACTATATTGTGAAATTTGTAAAAAAAAATATCATTATTATTATGTACAAGATGTCTGAAATGGAACTATCACGCTACGAGATTTAAACTATCATTTACTTCCAGTTTTATTGCAAAAAGTCAGCTACAGAATGTCACCAAATCGTGTGTATAGCTTTAGGTGTGTGTGTGTGACTATGGCAAAGCCTCGAGGGCTATCTGCCTAAGGGGAGGAATGCCTTCGTGGAGGACTTTCTAAGGGAAACTGTCTCGTAAACATGTTACACATGGGGAAAACCACGAAAACACCCATGCAGCCAGCCCGTTCGCGGGATTCGAACCTCGTATAGCTTTAGGTACTACTAATGTTTGACATTGTTAAGGTCAGTGCCGGA